GCGCACGCACACACACACACACACACACACACACACACACACACACACACACACACACACACACACACACACACACACACACGCACACACAAACTCACACACACGCACACACACACACGCACACACACACACGCACACACACGTGTAGAGATACGCTGCAAAAATAACCCACAATTCTACACACACAAGCCTTGGAATGCGGTCTCTGAGGTTTGGAATTACTGACCGAATTCCCTCGTGGAATTACTAACGGCAGGATTGATTAAAACAAGTTGGTATTTATAACGGCCAACTTTGTCTAAGAACAGATGAGGATAATATTAAAAACAAAATAGCAGCTGCAGAAGAAAACATAAATTCCATGGTTTGAAAAAGAAAACCCCAACATCTAAAGATGCAATGCAACATCCTATAAAAAGGATCTCTGAAATTCTACGCTTGATCGTTTTTGTGGGAATCTGGAAAAGGGTACTGCGTTAGAAAAGAACCTTTCTAAAGCAGAAATTCCATGTAACAAAATCTTTCGAAGAAAAATAGATTCTTTTCGACAGAAGAGAGGCAAGCGGCTTCTTTTTATAGAACCATAAACAAAACCTCGAGGAAGACACTTTGCTATTTTTATTTCTGAAAGAACTTTAACTAGAAAAATCCCTGATGTAGAAAAAAAATTCTCAAAAAGAATCTTCCTGGTTCGGTTTCCATGGATTTCTCAAGAGCTCTCGCAACGCTTTAAGCTGTCTGTCAAAGCAAACCTTTGCACCTGCACGAGGGCGTTTGAATGACATCTCTCTGGAAGGGCGAACAGGATACGTGAACAGGGAAAACACGAGAAATTGTATAGATCTAACGCCGCCTGCAACACTGTAAGGTTATTTCGAATGCGGAAATTCGAATTTCACGTCCATCTCCGATAGAACCGGACCAAATGGGAAAAGCTGGGTTAAGTAGGGCGTACCTATTCCAAGGACATAACGCCGGATAACGAGTCTGGCAGACTACCGACGCCACGTAAACAAGACTTGCACAAAAACTCGTGATTTTCCTCCTCCTCCTCCTCTCCTCCTCCTCCTTCTCCTCGTCCTCCCCTTCATTTTTACTTCTTCTTCTTCTTCTTCTTCTTCTTCTTCTTCTTCTTCTTCTTCTTCTTCT